GTGTTACTGCCATGATCGTGAGCTGGCGCCAAATCGAGCTATCTTCCTGGGCTGGATTGCTAGACCGTGAAGACACTGCATGCCGCATAGACGCGAGCTCATGGTGGTACATTGCATACGAGAATATCGTTGCTGCGGTCCGTGCTCTGCACCATGATTCGCGGGCTATCAGAGGTCACACTGAGGGTTTACTAAAGACTTTGGGAATGTTCCTAAGGAGTTGTGGTCTTGGAGAGTACGACCCGAGATTGAACATACTCCGTGACTTCGAGGCTCATTTGGCGGCTCTTTCGAAGCACGATGCCGGTTTCCTCATCGTGAAGCAAGCCTTGACAAACTTCATCGTCCACCACGAACGATTCACTCAAGCCATCGCTGAGAAGCTCGCCAAAGGCCGTAGCGATCTGGAGAAGCAGATCAAAAGCGTGATTCAGGTGGCAAGCTGGAAAGATCGTAATGTGGAGACCCTAAAGCAGAGCGCTACGTCTTCACATAAGCGGCTTTTGCGTTTGGTGCGCAAGTACCGCAGACTTCTTGCGCAACCAGTTGGAGATCTTCTGGCTGGTGGCGTTGTGCAAGGTGGCCCCTACTCTGGTCCTGCGCTCAGCATCACAAAAGAGGCTGCAGCTACAGACAACGCTCACGATGCAGATGTTTCTGCGTCACAATTCGCAGCATGGACGGCCCGCTCGGGACGTTTCAAGAACACTGCGATGACAGTGTCGATGATGCATGCGAAGGCTGGGAACCTGGGTATACGATCGGCCACCACCGAGTTGGCGAAATACAGCTCGGACCTACGAGTGGATGTACAAGAGCTGCAGAAAGAGACGCCGTCGATCCTCAACGAGGAGACAAAGAGCGTTGTCCAGGACCTCAAACGACGCAAGCGAAGACTACTTGCTGATGTCATCCGCGAAGTACAGAACATGGGCTTCCAGCGAAGTATGGGCGACGATGTGCTGGCCCAGCAAGCTACGTTGCATGCCGTGCTCAGCAGAGTTCCAGCTCTCAACTCGCGTCCGAATGACTCTACTCTTGCAGGCGCCGAGCATTATTTCCATGGGTTGCTGGACATCCTGCCATCGGTCAGAGAGAGCGCGAGGAAGCACTCAGACGACCTGACTCCAGCAGAAGCTGCACGGTGCATGACTTTGCTCGAAAGCATGCTGCAAGCCTCTACGACACAGCGATCCACCCTCATAGCATACATTGGCAACGCATCTGACCTTTCCGCGATGTTGGAACAGCTCCACGCATTGGTATCCACCGATACTATATCCGCCAATGAAGCTGAGCAGCCATTGAAAGCTCTTAGTACTCGTGTCCGCTCCCTTGCAAACGTTCTTCGGACTTGCGCGCAACTCTTGCGGGCTCAAGCAAATTTGGCGGGAAGTGACTTGACGACTATCATCCAGATACTCGAAACCCGTAATGAAGAGCTTGTCAAGCTCGAGGAAGAGGTCCGTTCAGAACCGACATTACCTGCGAACATTAGCAGTGACAAGGCTGCTACGTTACACAGCCGATTTGCGGTTGTTGTCGAAAGCCTTCATTCGGGAATGAAAGACTGCCTCCACTCATATCCAGAGACTGGACCTGTTTTGAAGCATGTGCAAAGATGGACCACCGAAGAAGCCGTCGTTCCGCAAGTCGCAAACGGCCACATACAGCAAACGCCGGACGCCTGGATCACTGAGCTACTTCTCTGCGTGGACTGTATGCTCAATGCGGTCGAGAACGTTGAGAAGCTGGCCGCCGCCTCGAGTGGAAGCTTAGACCAACCAGGATGGCTCATACGACAGGGCGGTATTGTGCTGGATGTCGTCAACGCTCTGCAGCTTGAGATTATCGTCAGGCGATTGTATGGACTCTTTGCCGGGCTCAGTCATCTGACTTTCGGAGTTAACGGGTCGTTGACAGGCCTTGCAGCTGTGTGTCGAAGTATATGGCCCATTGTCGAGGCCTTCGCGAACATGTGTCAAGAGTTGTTGGACAGCGCCACATCCCTGCACCTCGAGACCAATAAGATGGCACACCAACTCGCTGTGTCTTTCTTGCAATTGGCGCAACGAGGTTTCTGTACGCCTCCAGATAAAGCTGACTCCAAGGACCAAAAGGCTGGGGAACTTGAGACTGGTACTGGTCTTGGTGACGGTGAAGGTGGCGAGGATATCAGCAAGGATGTGGGAGACGATGAGGATCTTGGCGAGCTTGCTCAAGAGCCTAATGCTAAGAATGATGGTGAGGACATTGCGGATGAGAAAGATGCCGTAGACATGGCAGATGAAGAGTTGGAGGGCGCACTTGGGGAGGAGCCAGAAGGGTCGGACTCTGGTGACGGCGACGGAGATGACGATGCGGGTGCAGGGGATGACATTGATGAAGAGGCTGGTTCGGTTGACGAGCAAGGGCCGTCTACAGTGGACGAGAAGATGTGGGATGATGGTGCAAACAGCGAACAGCCCGAGAAAGAGAGCAAGGACATGAAAGACTCGCACACGACTGATGATCCTGCTGCTGCTCAGGACGAAAAGAAGAAGGGTGAAGACGAGAGGCAACAGGAGGATGGTGCGGCCGCTGAAGATGCTCCTGATGAGGACGAGCATGTACAGTCGCAAGACATGGATCAGACTGACCCTCATCCGGACAATCAGCCTAACCTTGATCTCCCGGCAGACATCGACATGGACGGCAAAGACGCAAGCGAAGATGGAAGTTCCGAATCGGATGGCATGTCGGAGGTTGGCGCGGATGCCGACGACGCCGAAATGAAGGAGGCAGAAGGAAACACTCCCGAGCACGAAACTGCGGCTACTGAAGAGACTGGAGAGGCCGAGCAGGATGATCTGACAGCAGAAGAGCCTGATGGAGGTGACGAGGCCAGCGATGAGGCTGATGACCGCGAGGATGCCCGTTCTGACGTACTGATGGAAGACGACAAAGATGCCGCCCACGCGGACGCCACCGATGTCGACAACGTGGCTGAAGCTGGCAATGGAGAGGATGCCACCAACACCGAAGCTCGTGAAACTGCGCAGTCTACTGCCCAGGATCAGGATGCAGAAGGTGGCGCTGAAGAGCAAGACAACCCAGATGCAACAGCTGCCGGCGACCAGGAAAGCAGCCGCAAGCAAGACTCAGGCACCACCCCCCAGAAGTCCGCGGCTAGCGAGTCCAGCCTACCTTACAAGCAAATCGGAGATGTCTTGGAAGAATGGTACCGTCAACACCGCGAGATCGAGTCCGCACGAGAGCAAGAAGCCAGTGACCCGACACAACCTCAAGATGTTGACATGTCAAGCGCCCGATTCGAGCATGTGCAGGATCAGAACGCACCAGCCGAGACGCAAGCACTGGGCACTGCTTCTGCAGATGAAGCCACTGCCTTGCCAGAAGACAGTGGCTTGCCGAACAACAACGAAGACGACACTGCTCTGCCGCCGCGTGATGACGATGATGGACAGCAAGAAGAGAGCGAAGCTCAGGAGCCAGGCATGCAGATCGAGCCAAGCGAAGTGGCCCGCCTGAAAGAGTCCTCAAAAGCTTTCGTGGGTGAGCCGCAGACTATGGATCTTGACAGTCCAATGGAAGAGAACCTTCCGGCGGAGGACGAAGATCAAGTGCATGACGTCGACCAGCAGCTGACCGACACCCACATCGATGGCGACGACAATGGCGAGGAGCTCTCTTTGCAAGAAGCACGCCAGCTGTGGTCTGAGCATGAGGCGAGCACGCGCAATCTTGCACTCGTACTGACCGAGCACTTGCGATTGGTACTGCACCCGACTCAAGCTACGAAGATGCGAGGAGACTTCCGCACAGGCAAGCGGCTCAATATCAAGCGCATCATACCGTATATTGCTTCCTCGTACAAGCGCGACAAGATCTGGATGAGGCGATCCGTGCCAAGCAAGCGCTCGTATCAAGTCATGCTCGCCATTGATGACTCCAAGTCCATGGCGGAGAGTGAAAGCAAGCAGCTGGCCTTCGAGACTGTCGCTCTAGTCGCCAAAGCAATGTCAATGCTGGAAGTTGGTGAGCTGAGCGTGGTAGGGTTTGGCGAAAATGTCAACGTTGCACACGACTTCAGCACGCCCTTCACGTCCGATGCTGGTGCACAAGTGTTCAAGCAGTTTAGCTTCGCGCAAAGCAGAACAAATGTGCGGAAGCTGTTGGCGGAGTCGATTGAAATCTTCCGCTCTGCTCGCCTGAAGGCGGCTGGCTCAGCAAGCGAGCTGTGGCAACTGCAGCTCATTATCTCGGACGGAGTGTGCGAGGATCATCCATCAATCCGCCAGCTTGTCCGCCAGGCTCAGGAGGAGCGCATTATGGTGGTCTTTGTTGTGGTCGATGCAGCAGCGCAGAAGGCGGAAGTCGGAGGGCCGAAGCAGAGTATCCTCGACTTGCAGACCGCGGAGTTCGCGAAGGACCAGGCGGGTGAGATGCAGCTGAAGATGGTCAAGTATTTGGACACGTTCCCGTTCAACTACTATCTGATAGTGAGGGATGTACAAGACTTGCCGGCGGTGCTGGCTGGGGCGTTGAGGCAGTGGTTGGCGGAGGTGATGGAGACGGGAGGTTAGATTGTGAGATGACCTTGGTTCAGTGTATTGGATTAGGTGTACAAGGAAATCTTACGATTTCTACATGGAATAGCGAAGTAATGTCAATGGTGTGAACTGCATAGTACTGCAAGACTTCGTCGACAACTAAGTAGTATGACTTCAAGGACCTTCACGGAATGTTGGACCAAGTCCATACCGTAATTGGTTCACTGGTAGAAATTGTTCGCTTCTCGACGATACCAATGTTGCCACGGGATAATGTCGTCGGCTGCGTTGTGCTGGAAGCACTCGAGACTTTGGAGAGTTGTACCTCACAGTCCTCCAGATTTCAAGGCTTGTCAGTTGTAAGGACGATCAAAAAAGATCAAAATCGCAAAACTGAAAGTTGATTCTGTAACGAATCTTCTCACATTCATCGAAGAATCGATAATGTACTCACGCCGGGTCTCGAACCCGGGACCTTGTCCGTGTGAAGGACACGTCACTGGGAGGTGTTAGTGGATGGTAAAGTGAATATTCCAGTGGTGAAACTCACTACCACTAGACCACGCGAGCAATTGACCTATCGGATAGCACAATTTGCTTTGTGTATGATTATATAGTGCGTTCTTTTGACAAAGTCCCAAGCCGGTGCAAAATATCATCGCGACAATGCTGGTAAGCTTGCATGGCCGCAGGCAACTAGATAAACCGACCACGAGAGAAACGCTCTGTCTTGGGTCAAAGTAGTGTTGAATTGTAGATACACAGGCTCAAATGCATCACGTTGTCGCGGAGATCTCGCAATTTTGCAATAGTAGCATGATCGTGAAAAAGTCTTCCTCTATCAGCACTCTCATATCTCCTTCTACCTTGGTCACTCCCTCTTCTCCTCGACATCAACAAACTCCGACATGGGGTACGAGCTGTTGAAAGGGTCCACCTTCGCCTTCGCGAACTTTCTTGCAGACACCTTCTGCTCGAAGAGTATGTCCAGCTCGCCGTACGTCCTGCCCTTTGGCTCTGGCAATCGAAAGTAGACCCCTGGCCATAATTAGTACGCAACTCAGGCGATACAGGCTGGTCTTTGCTTACAGGTAAGACAGAGGAAACTGGTGCCTGGAGAAGCGAAGACATGTTAGTACATTCCAAGAAAGGTGCACTCAGTTGCTTACCCGCCCAAAAGAAACCAGCCTTCCCAGACCAGTTCCACTTGCCGGGATTTAGCATCTGGACATAAGGGTTAGCTCTTTGTTCGACGCACGTGGCTGTTGAGAAACAGTTCTGCATGGCAACTTGATCTGAGACACAGACCAGGCCACTTCAAGACTGTCTCCAACACCCAAGGATTACAGCCATCTGTCTGCTTACGTAGGGTGTGATGACTCCATTGATAAGTCCCTGGCAATTGTAGAAGGCTCGAGCAAGTACGGTAGTCTTGGTGCGCAGGCGACTGGATGGGATCTCCGTGACGATCGAGTAGGCCACGGTGCCGACAGCAATATCGTAGCAGAGCGTGAAGAGGAGGAGAAAACTTCCAGTAGCGTAGGACGCTGCATTGTTGTGCGCCAGACTGATGAAGCCGATGGTGAGTAGGACAGTGAACTGTGCTGACAGGCCGCAAAGATACATAGTCCGCCGGCCAAATCTGCTCATGCAAAACCACGAGATTACCACCCCGATCATAGCGACTGCGTACAGAGTGATCGAGAAATCAAAGGAGATGCTGAGTGCTCGTTAGTCAATAGCCTGACCTACGAGCAAACTTTACGTACGTCGTCGGAAGTCCGGCTTGCACGAAGAAGTATGCAGCATATCCTATAGCATGTCAGCTAGCATCAAACAGCATTCGTCGTCTGCTGACCTATAAGGGATGCACCGCTCGCAGCCTGAATGACCCAGGTGATGCAGGCAATTTCAGTACGTCGTAAGTTCACGCCTCGAAAGCAATCAATATACGAGCTACCGTGGTCGAGCTCCTTTTCCACCTCGTTTGTATGCCGCATCATGGAGATAGTGTCGTCTAGACTCGCATCTGTGCCAGTTGAGTTCAGTCGCCGTAGCGACTTTCTAGCATCATCATTGCGTCCTTTACGGACGAGCCACCTGGAATATGTCAATAGAGTGCTCTCATCACTCGGTAGAATGAGTTACCAAGGCGACTCCGGTGCGAAAGCAATTCCTACGATCAACGGTAACGGCCACATCCACTGCAAGGCGAAAGGTATCCGGTACACCCACTCATCAGTACGTTTTAGCATCGATCGGATGACTCCACTAGCAATGAGTTGGCCAAGACCCCACATCATGTTCACATACTGCGGCACAGTCAGCAAGGCTTCAGACACCATATCTAGTCGTTTGGCCTTACTGTCGTCAGATAGCCGCGCAGTGCTACTGGACACACTTCTGCAGCATATACGGTGGTCAGGGTCTGGAAGGCACCCCAGGGTACACCCATCAGGACCTCGCCGGCCTAGCCAAGTATTAGCATACATTCAAACGAATGAGTCGGCTCGACGTACCACTAGTGTGCCGATGTTTGGTGCGAAGAAGACTATGAAAATCAATCCCGTGAGCAGGCACAACATTCCAATCATCGTCTTCTTGAAGCCGAATTTCTCGCAGACATATCCATTAAGCAGCAAGCCAAGAATTTCGCCTACTCTCGCTCCATTGCTCAAGCCAGCCTGCCATGGAGCAGGTATCTCGTATTTGCCCGGCTTCTTGGTCATTCTTCCGTATTTCTTCTGGAAGGTCGGGACAGCGTAAAAAGCCGATATCAAGACCGTATCATAGCCTTCCATTGCGACAGCTGTCGAGAAGAAGATGGACCAGAGCACAGCCTTGGGATGGGATCTTATTGCTTGTCGAAACGTCATGGCATGCTCGGCGTCTGTTGCGACTTTGGCTTCACTGCTGAGAAAGGCGAACTTGCTATCGTTTTCCGCGAGTTTCTGGACAACACTGTCTTCGATATTGACATCCAATACATCTGCGTCGACATTCCGTCTGGGCTGCGTGTTGGGGAGGGGTCCCATGGCAACGCTTGGGCAGATGGTGAATGAACCTCGCAGGCGGAGTGAAGTTTTTTACGAACCGTCAGCAAGAGACCATCGCAAGCACTTATTATCTGCTGAAGCCCACGGATACGGGTTGGTCAATATGATATTGCGATGGCGTGCTTGCTGGCATCCTGACTACTATTGCAAGACCTCGGGTGTCATCCGGTTCCTCCACACTATCGGCCTGCAACACCGCTGGGATCGCAGAGTAGACTATAGAGCCTGATGCTTTGTCTGCGAGATGGAGCTGAAGCATAGTGGATGTACAGCTTGGAGCATGGCAGAGCGAGTGAGGTGGCAATGGTGAGAGCCGCGATGTGGGTCCTCTTTCACGTGATCTGCCTCGTTTGGCAGTCGAGGTGAGTGCATGTTGGGAGTACAATATTGTTCAAGGCATTGGCGACTTTGTGAGAGCGAAGGTATGTGAAAATCGATACGCTCTGTAATGGCTGTCCAGCTGGCCTCTCCTCCCGCAACTGCGAAGGTATGCCTCTATACAGACCTCTCGCACACTCAGATTACCACGCAGCTTTCGCGATGATACTCTTTGGATACGTCCTGATGAGGTACTTGCGTCCCTCATCCAACAGCAGAACGCCCATGCCGAACGCCATAGGCAAGAACCAGTACTCGACTGGAACGATGCTGGTGCCAAGCACGCTGTGGAATTTCGGCACATAGAGGAACAAAATCGCGATTAGCAGTGCGAAGATGATCGCCGGCAGTAGGTAGTAGTTGAAGCTGTGGTTGAGGACAGATAGTCTTCGAGTTCGGACGGCAAAGAGGTTAAACCACTGCATGACGACCAGATTGACGAAATAAATCGACGAAGCCGTGTTCAGGATCGATGTCACCTCATCCGTCGTCAATCCATTAGGAGTAACACCGGAAAATGCGAACCAGAGACTGCTGAAGGTGAGTCCCTGGCGTTGCGCGTACCAGTAAGCCATGGCGAAGGATGTCAACGTCTCGATGACGCCGATGTAGCCATAGGCGTACAGCACGAGCTTCCAGTCCACGAGACGGTCCTTCTTGGCGTTGCGAGGTGGTCGCGTGAGTACATCGGCTTCCGGTTTCTCATAAGCGATGGCAGTCGCGGCGGCACAATCCGTGAAGCAACAAATTATGATCATCAGGAACGACGACAAGATCTGGGGCAAGCCGAAGACGACGTTGGTGATGACAGGCCAGAACTCGGAGAATGATCCGGCCGGGAGGAGGTAGCAGATGGTCTTCTTGAGGTTGTCGTATACCACGCGACCGTAGCGGACGGCTTCCACTATGGCGGCGAACGAGTCCAATAATACCATATCGGCCGCTTCGAGAGCAACATCACTACCACCGCCCATTGCGATACCAACATCAGCTTGTTTTAGACTGGGTGCATCATTGACACCGTCTCCCGTCATACCGACGGTGTGATCACGCTTCTGTAGCTCCTTGACAATACGCAGCTTATGTTCCGGAGTCGTGCGAGCGAAGACAATCTCATCGTAGCAGCAGAGCTTATCCCACTGGCTGTCGTCGAGGGTTTCGAGGTCGGCGCCGCTCATAACGATGGAGTGTATGCGATCGGACTCTGCCGAGGGTGTCTTCTCCTTAATCCCGGCGCTCTCCAAGTAATCTTCATCGAAAGCCAGATTCGTGACATCGTCGATGAACTTCTGAGATTGAGTAATGATACCGCACTCTGCAGCGATGGCAGCAGCAGTGAGCTTAAAGTCGCCGGTGACCATAAATACGCGAATACCGGCTCCGCGAAGGATACGCACGACCTCCGGGATCTCAGCACGAGGGGGGTCGACAATGGCGATGAGACCGACGAGGATCAGCTCGCTCGATGCCCTCCGCATGACGTCGAGCTCATACTCTCGGGGTTGTGATACTGAATCGAATTGCATGGTTTCGAGAGGCTTCTGCGCGAGCAGGATTATCCGGCGACCTTGCGATGACCAGTAGTCCTTCATACCATCGATAGTGCGACGATCTTGGTCTTCCAGACGCTCTACGAAGCCGTCTTTGTTGATGTACGACCCACAGCGTGGTAGCAGAATGTCCGGAGCGCCCTTAATCATGAGCTGAGGTTGACGTTCCTCGTCTGATTGCACAATATTAATGGCGAATTTGTTCTTGCTGTTGAATACGACCTTGTACACGGATCGCCACGTCGCACGTAATACAGACACTTTGGTCAGGGACTCGGTGAAGCGAAGGATTGCGGAATCTGTTGCGTCGCCGTGCACTTTGCGGTCGCCAATTTGCATATGAACAGTGGAGGCGTCGAATCTGGCAGCAAAAACAGTTAGCAGGTGTTTCGTCTTCGGACAGTGTAACAAGGCTCTCTCATGTAAAGAACCAAGTCAGACTGTGAAAGGCCATAGTCGCAGCTTCTGAGCACTCGACGGTTGTGGGATGGCAGTCTGCTTACTCGGCTTCGTTGCACACGGCTGCCACGGCGGCAAGCTTTTGTAGTCCCTTCTGATCTTCGTAGATACCAGGACCCTTCAGTGC